GTTCCGGCTGATAGTGAGTTGGAAAGGGAATGTAGTTTTTAGGATGTGAGGTCATGGTTCGCAAGGTTCAGGTTCAGTGACTTAGCCAGTCATTGAAAGCTTCTGTGCTCTAAACCGTCTGAAAAATGCAAGTAAAGCAAACATCTCCTGTGAGCTGTGCTGGTTTAGCAAGGGAGATGTAGCTGTAGCTTTGCATTACTCATTATCCATCTACAAATGAAGTTCATCCAACTTCATTACGGCATAACAAATGGTAGGAGGAAGATTATTTACAGCAATTAAATCTAAAATCTGAAATACTGCAACTCAGTATTCATCATAGTGCAGTACGGAATTTGTAGAGGAGGAAATGCCATTATTATGAAACATGGAGATTCCTGAGGGTTTACCAAGCTGGTATGGCATTGTGTTGAAGGTAGCTTGGAGTGCAGTGTTTTGGCAGATTTCACTTTTGAGAGTTCAGGGACAGAGCTTGTAATTCTAGTTCTATAATAAAAGTACAGGACATGTCAGTCTTTTGCAAGGAGTATCTTTAGTAAATAACATTTTTTAAAGACACGGGATTCCCTAGAAATGTTCTTAATAGCAACACAACACAAATTTAATAGTGTGTACTAGTCCTAATCCAGTCGTTAACCTTGCATTGGATTCTAGTTTAGATATTTGTTATAGTTGTCTGATGCAGACCTTTTTTTTCTTTTTTACCCCAGTTGGTGGTGCCATACCGTTGCTTTCTAAGGAACCTGCGACAGCCACAAAAGGTCACCGGTTAAACCAAGGGAAGATGCCACATAACCCTTTGGATTCCAGCGCTCCCTTGGTAAAGAAAGGGAAACAGAGAGAAGTGCCTAAAGCAAAGAGACCGACACCTCTTAAAAAGGTGCTAATATTTTTACCTTAATTAGCACAATATAGACTAATGTAGCTTCAGTATTACTCTGTGAGTCTGTTAAGCTTTCTGGTATGGAGTTCTGTGTCTCAGCATCCATTGTCTAAATTCAGTTTTAGCTTTCCTTAGTTTTAAAAAAAAAAAAAAAGAAAGGGGGAGTGACAAGACGGGAGAGTCTTGCTAAGTAGCATAATGCAAATTTCCCCAAAATGTATTTTCTCACTTAAATCACTTGATAGCTGAAGAAGTGCTATTACAGAAGTGTTTGCACATCATTGGTACAGGGGGACACCCAAAGAAATCTTACTTGGTTTGGACAAGATACGCTTATTTGCAGGACTGGGAAGAATGGATCAAACAAAGGTAGTATTTCATGTTTCTGTGCTCTTCCAAGACAGAAATTCACTTGATTCTGCAGCAACTAGTGTTAGATCCACATGGAGGTTTCTCTCATATCTTCTCTTTTTGCCCATTCATGTTGCTTCCTGTCAGTGTCTTCTATACAGAGAATTTTGAGATGTGACTCCATCACTAGGTCACTTTTTAGTCTAGAAAAATTCTTCTTTTTAGTTTAGTAGTCATGCTGTTCTGCTTAATTGAATTTGAGAACTGTACTATATAAACAATATATAACATATAACAAACTGGGGTGTGATAGTAATTACTGTGTCTTCTGGCTGTTCTGTCTTCATGTCATCTATTTTCCAAAATAAGATGGAGAAGACAGTTTGCTTTGTGTAATACCTGTGTTCCAAGTATGGCATGGAGCTTATTTTTGTTCTTTGTTCATCTTTGACAAATGGAAATGAATAAAATTACTTTTGCAGTTAGATTTTGTGGTATAAGTTGTTACAGATTTTGGATAGATTAGCTGAACTAGTGGACATATAGAAAGGAACTTGCTTTTACCTGCAGTGTAGCATGTTCGAATGCATCATATGTCATGCTTTCCTTTCTTCTGTGTGCTGTGCAGCTTAGCTGTCCCTGGTAATTTATTTTTCTTCAGCCAGGAAATTCAGAGACAGTGATCTATTAGACTGACTCAAAATTTTTCTTGATATTTAGTAGAGAAATAAGAAGGAAGAGTAACGGTGCATATGTGTGTGTGTGTGTGTGTGTGTGTATATACTTGAGTTACTCTGTGTGTGTGTATATATATATCTCTCTATATATTAATTAACATACTTGAATGTTTGGCTGATGTGCTGCAAATTGACAGTCTGTAGAAGAAAGGTAAAGAGGGAGGCTTTTTCATGTGCTTCTCTGCATTGAGGCAATTTGTTGCTTAAACTTTAGTTCTGATCTTGTAGTTGATCCCTAGTAATTATTTTCTCCACCCAGACTGGTAATCAAGGACAAAGTTATTTTCTGTGTAGATTTATGGAATATATTTCCTCCTTTTTATGTGCAAATTAAAAAAAACAAACAACCAAATATTGTAAACTTTGAACGATAGTCCCAAACTTCTTTATGAATGGTCTGTATGTAAACACTTAGTAAGAAAAACTGATTTGTTATCTAGGTGATGTTGACTTGATCTGATTTTTGTATATATTATTTTAGATTATTCTGAAAGAAAGAGAACAACGAAAACAGCAACGCCTGTTAGAACAGAGAGCAGTACCAGAAAATGAAGATAATATTTGTCAGTCTGCAGAAAATATTACTGAAGATGAAACACTTCTACAGGATAGTCAAGCAGGTATCTTTCAGGAGAAGGCTATAATACAGTACGTAGATGTGAGCACATTTACTGCTTTCAAAAATGTGTACCAAATACTGCCAAATGAAAGCTGTAACTTCAGAGTTTTCTAAGGTTCAGCTTGGGCTTATCTAGAGTTTGAAATGTGCCAAGGCTGTTAGCCAATGTAGTTGAGTAATTTGGATTCTCATTACTGTTCCACACTTTGATGCCTGTTGGATTTTCTTGTATGTCGTAATGAGAGTTCCTGCATCTCTCTAGCAATCTGTTTAGAAAGAGGTACAATAATAAAAACTAAGAGATAAAAAAATGTATGACCTGTTCCTCTACTATTGCAGTCTGTTGTAATACTAAAGTAATGGAACTTCAAGAGATACCTGCCAATACACACAATACTTTTTGGTCCGTCTTTTCATTGAAATATCTTTATTTCCATGATAGCTGTTCCCGTAACACAAGTTGCTGAAGGGTTTCTGGAGAACATGGGGATCAAGGAATCTACAGAAAGTTCTATAACTTCAAAGCAGCTAACCTCCAGTCTTCCAAAAATCCATAGTAGGAATTTTAGAGAGTAAGTATTGATTGTATTGATGTCTGGGTTTTTTTATAGTACTGCTGATACGGTACTGATAACATTTTTCAAACAAGGTACTTAACTTGCATTCTGTGCAGTGCTCGTTGGAGTTTGGCGTGATGATTCTAAATTTTTTTTTCAGTTTTTCCATAAGCTGACACACAAATTAAAATCATACTCAGAGGAATACTCTGCACATTGTTGTAATTCTCACTTCAAAATGCTTGTTCCTTGGAGGAAAGAAAAAAAGATTAGAAATTCAGTAGAGGCTAAGGAAGGAAAAGGAGCTGCTATTGAAGTACCATATTTTAAATAAATGGAGTACTAGCTTAATATTTAAGGCAGACACTTATATTTTGTGTGTGCTTTGATTTTCTGCTGCCAGACCAAGAGGCAAAAGTGTAAAGAATGGGACTAGCCAGATGACATTTTCATGTTGTGGCTAGGCAGAGAAATAAAGGTAAGATTTACAGGTGGTTATGTGCAAGCACTTTTTGTTTAAACAGATGTGTTCACATATTTCCTTATAAAAGAAGTAATAGTCATTACTATATGTGAAGAGGTCGGACAGTTTAAAACAGTTGCTTTACGTAAGCAGTGTTTTAACTTTTAGTTTTCCTCCCATAAAGGTGTCACTGACCTTTTTGCAGCTCATGTTATAGTAAAAGTTAATATTGATACAGCTATTTATCTTCCTGATACCATATGTTAGCTCTAATTTAACTTTTAATTGCACTAAAAATTACTTAATTTGGGTCTATGCAACACTGTTTTACTGAAAGCACAGTCTGGGTTGAATATGTACAGGACAACTCAGTCCTTCCTGTTATAGGGCATTCAGCAAAGCTTAGAATATTTTGTGTCTTTAGATTTTCAGAGTTCTTGGTGTTTTAGTAGACTTGTCTTTGAGACTTAGGGAAATCAACTGGAAATAGTAAATAAAAACTTGAAATTTTATTTGTTACTAGAGATAATTGGCTCTCTGAGATCTGGGATAGATCTTGATCTCTCTTCTCATAATCTTACATTCTTCTCGTAATCTTCTATCTTCTCATAATCTTAGATTATTTTAATAACTACTATTAATTTTATAATAAGTTATTAAAATAATAACTATTTTAACTCCTCCTCCTCCTCCTCCTCCTCCTATTTTAACTACCTCGGGTAGACGAGGTACTCAGGGATATGGTTTAGGGGGCAGACAGGAGCGGTTGGACGTGATGATCTTGGAGGTCATTTCCAACCGAGTGCTTCTGTGATTCTGTGATTTTGCCACGTGGCATCTTTGCCACAGTCATCTTTGTGTTGACTGTGCAGTTGAGATAGCTTTAGTTTTTCTCTTTGATACCCTTTTTTACTGAACTATTATTTGTGTAAAAAATGGGGAAAAATTTAAATCGGAACCCTGATCTTTCCCAGGGAATACTAGAAGGATGAAGTACATCTGGTTTTATCCTTTGCTTATGAACACCATAAGGCTATAGGCTGATAGGTGAAGCAGGACAACAGACAAAATATGAACTTAGGGAGGAGGAATGTGATCGAGATTTCCATCTTTTTTATAAGTAGCCTTGTACTTATAGAAATAAATTAGAATTTTATACTTCAGATGCTGTACTTTGATTTATATAGGTCAAAAGAAATGTCCTCAGAAAAATGTTTCAATAGAAAAACATATGTACATTTATATTGATTGATACTATATATATATAGATAGATTTATTGTACATCTGTGTATGTATTCTTACTATAGTTTGACAGGGCAGCCAGATACCAGAAGTAACGAAACTTTCTGTAAATTCTCAGCCACTGAAGAAAGTCTTAGGTAAATTTTTGTTTTTTCATCTATATAACAAAAGTGTTTGGAGTGGAAATAGAAAGACAAAGACATAGAGCAGAAGATTAACTGTTTATATTTTACATATTATGTAAATATGTGTTACGTATTTGTAATTGTAGGGGGTTTTACATTTAACTGATTCTTTCTTCCAGTTATTGCAGTCAGGTACTTAGTAAAGAAGTTGACAGTTGTGTGACGGATCTCTTAAAAGAACTGGTTCGTTTCCAAGATCGCTTGTATCAGAAAGACCCAGTAAAGGCCAAGATAAAACGCAGGCTTGTTATGGGTCTTAGAGAAGTTTTGAAACATCTGAAGCTGAAAAAACTGAAGTGTGTAATCATCTCTCCTGACTGCGAAAAGATTCAATCAAAGGGTAAATAAGTGGGTTTTTTTTAAAAGTTTGTTTAATAAAAAAAGTTTTAAAAGCAGACTCAGTATACTGGCAACAGTTTGTTATTGGAGGAACATTTGAGTAACCTTTGAAATCCAGTCACGTAAAGATGCCTTCCTTCTTCAGGCTGTTTTCTGCTGTGCTGCTAAAGTGTGAGCTGAGTCAAGACCATGTGGGGTTTTAGGAAGTTACCTGAAACTAGGATCTGTTTGGTTACCAATTTGCAGTGCAGCTGCACAAAAGATTGTGCTGGCAGAGCTGAGAAAAGACAGTGGTTACTGATGCTAGCTGTGCCACCACAATAAGTCCTGCTATATCAGTATTTTTTAGGCCACAGGTTGACTATAGGTTGTCAGTGATAGTTTGTTTAAAATCTGTTTTAATTATTGTCATTATTTTCTGTTAACTTTTAAATAATTTCTTAGCAGATGGGTCTTTTTAATACTAGATGAAACTATACTTACACATTACAAAATTTGGAATAGTAGCAGCCTAAGAATACTGATAATTAAGAAAAAAATGTCAAATTCTCCTTTAAAAATGGACATCTAGTGCTATTATTGCGATCCACATATTTTTTCCTATAAACTCTTGTAATTTCAAAATGCACCCATAATCTTGGGGTGGTTTTTGCCATCTTTTAACAGTCCTGTCCTTTTATTTATGATCAGCTTGAATAGTCTCTTTACCAATTCTGTTGTCTGCTCCAGGTGGGTTGGACGAGACTCTACACAACATCATCGACTGTGCCTGTGAACAGAATATTCCATTTGTTTTTGCTCTTAATCGGAAGGCCTTAGGCCGCTGTGTGAACAAAGCAGTGCCTGTCAGTGTAGTGGGAATTTTTAGCTATGATGGGGCTCAGGTAAGCTGAAATACGTAGGTAGGTTCGTGTTTTCTTTAGCTTTACTTTTTAGCTCTAAGTGGAAAAAAATATTCTGACTTCAAAGGGTTTTTGTTTGTTTTGCTTTTGCACACTTTTTATCCCAGGTCAGGGGAAAAATAGATTTTACAAGTGCAGCCACTCAGCACTGTTCAAAAAAGTAGTTTGGCCATCTCTTCCTGACATCCCCTCCATCTAGATCTCTTTCCAGTTTTTTTTGTTTCAAGAGAATTGGTGTTTTTATAAATGCTTAGGTTTTCATGTCTTTACATGTACTTAGCCACCTTGGATCTGTAGCATTTAGGTAGCCAATGGATGCTTATAAACAATCATATCACAGGAAAAGGCCAAAGGTAGACCTATGGAAGGCAGTTTTAAAGATCGCCTTCTGGTTACCTGAATAACCTTTTGAATGAATCTTGAGGATAACAAGCTTGCTTTGGAAATGGATGTAAAATGTGAAACTATGTTTTTAACTTTGCCATGGTTAGTTTTGTGGACAAAGCTATATTTGTTAGTTAAGGCAAAAAAATAATTCCTGATTTTTAGCAAAACATCCCTTGTCACCTCTTCCTTTCAGTTCTTACTGACTATAAACCAACTGCTTTGGGTTTCAACACTTAAATATGAACATAGATGTTCTGAATAAGGAAATCTCATTACATATTTTCATGGACATGTTAAAACTTACTGAATGATTTAAGCTTAACTAATATTTTATATTTCCATAGGACCATTTTCATAGGATGGTACAACTGACAGCAGAGGCCAGGAAGGCCTACAAAGATATGATAGCAGCTTTAGAGGAAGCAGCTGAAGTTGGACTAAGAGAAACCCAACCCAGCATCCTAACCACTGAATGTGAAAAAAATGGCTTATCAGAAACTGGTAAAACATCTTCCAAGGACTGTGATGAAGATGTACCAAATTACAGTGAGTACTGACTTGCTTTTAGTTCCATTTTCTCTTCATTCAAAGTGCTCTTCAAGTCTACAATTTTCAGTGAAACACTTGACACTTTAGTGGTTAGTAAGGGGAAAATTCTACTTTTCTGTGATTTCTGCCCCCTTCCAGCCCTCCTAATTTTATAAACCTGCGTTCAGCTCTTGCTGAGAAAGTCTTAGAGCAAATTCCTGTCTGAAATGCATTCATGGCAGGCTGTACTCATTGCTTTGTCCCAGGAGGTTTAACAGAGCTCCTTATTATTTCTATTTTAGAAAAAAACCAGGATTTTTTTAAGAAAGTACATACTTCATAATTATGGTGGACTTAAGTTTTGTATTGAAGCCTGTTTTGAGATGCATCTTCCTGTCCAAAAATGTTTGTTTTGTGAAGGCCTCCCACTTTTAGAAGCACATTCCTCCAGCTCTGCTTATACAGTTACCATAGAACGACAGTTATCAGTTACTAGGCAACTTAAAGTTTTTTGAAAGTTTTTAAAACCTCTTGAGTTTTTAAAAGTTGGATCCACCTTCACAGTTAGTCTTGCTAGAGTAGGGGGCTAGACACAAGGACCTCAATGGATCCCGTCACTCCTAAAGTAATCTTTCGTGCCTCATCTGATGTCACACGGTGTCCATGTGTCACATGTCCTTGTGCCAACTTATCGCAGCATTTACTTTGAGGAAGAAGTAGAGAATTGTGTGACTCTTAATTTTAAGCTTTCCTTAAGTATTACACAGTAATCTGTTGTTTTTGTTGTTTGGTTGTTTTTTTTTAAATTCTAATATTCTCTAGTTAAAATTTGGAAGAGAAAACTTGAAGAAGAGTATAACCCATATGCTCTGGAACTGGAAAAGAGTGCAGCTGCTGACATGGTGATAGTGAATTTGGAAGAGGATCAGTAAATCCAGACCCGATTCTATTGGACTTCTAATTCTTTTTTTTTTTTTTTTTTTCTCTCTTTAAACCTCTAGGAAGAGGTTGGCAAAATAATTTAAGAAATATTTCTTTAAACCTCTAGGAAGAGGTTAGCAAAATAATTTAAGAAATATCTGAAGAAGTCAGCTAAGTAAACAGTCCTGAATCCCTTTAAGCAAAATACACCCTGGAGCACGTGAGGCACTGGCTAATGCTTTTACGTTCTATGTATTTGGCTGATTACTATAGCAGATGACAGCAGCAAATTGTCTTAGCTGTGAACTGCTTGAACTGGCTTGGCATACTTTAGTGGTTTTATGGACTAGCACTGATTTGTTAGGAATACAATATACCAAAATAACTTTCTTGAAGGCCTAAGGTCTGAAATTAACTAAATTAAGTCTGAAGGTCTGAAATTCTTGAACTGAAAATACAGTGTTTAGAAATTTTATGAAGTTGATTAAGTGTACAATGAGGATGTTTCTGCTGCTACTGAGACTAGTTTATCACAGGGCCTGCTTTGAAGTTTGATCTTTAAGGTCCCTTCTAATGCAAACCATTCTGTGATATTGAAGGATACCAAATGCACAAGCCTGCTGTCCTGTCTGTACCTTCTCCATGCTGACAGACTCCTTATTCCTTCAATTTGGGGTTGTGTTGGTGTATATATGTAGGTTTTGATCAAATTTGTATCTAAGATAAGGAAAGTTTATATCTTACAGGAAATAAAATTTATATCTTATAGGAAATAAAATCTTAAAAACAAATTGTGCTCATAGTGGTGGTGGAGCACCTTAGTGGGATCATTCTGTATAAATACCTTTGTTTACAAGTTGCAGACATAGGAGGACAAGCCTAAAGAAAGTAATTGGAGGATGTACATGTGACTTTTGTCAGCTGCTCTGAAAGATAGATAGGTAGAGACGCCACGTGCTGCTGCCAGCATCTCTTAAGTGTGTCCGTAAGTGCTTCCCTACATGGAAAGTTTGTAGTGCAATACTTTGGAAAGTAGCTGCCTTGTGAAGTTCAAAGTGATCTAAAAACTTCAAATAACTTTGAAATTCCAACAGTTTTGTAGAATGTAAATAGAATCAATATATTGTAACAGATTTTATACAATAAAGTTTGGTTGTGACTCAAGTAAACTCTTTTGGTGGGCACTTAATGGTACTTGAAATGTCAGTTTTGAGGAATAAGGTTGTAAAGTGAAGGCAGGCTGAAGCTGAAATGTCCAGTTGGTCACTAGTTATGACGATGATCTTCTTCTATTAGTTTTGTCTGATCTTAAATGGAAAATGAGGATGAAAAGTCCCAGTGATGAAAAATGGTTTTGGCCACCGGGTACTTTTGGTCCAGAGGTAAGTTGTGATTTATTTGTCCTTGTGCCACTTTGATAGGATTACCTATTTTAGGTAGATCAAATCTTAGGGAGTTAATTCCTGTTCTTTAACTGTAACAAAAAACCCCCAAAACACTGAGGGGTCACTGCTGTGTTGACTAGTTCTGTTACACAGATGTTTTTTCACGAAGTTGAGCTAAACAAATCTGGCAGTCTTTTTTTACTACTTGCAGTACTGTGCTGCAGAGACAAGGCAGAGCTTAGCTATGTTCATGTAAAACTGAGCTCAGTCTTGCAAAGCCTTACCTTCCCACTCAGCACTACAGAACTAAATTTAAGTCTGCTCCACATCTGTTGAACAAATAGAGGAGGGATAATTCAAGAAAAAATATTTTTATAGTTGTTCCTTAGCCATGAAAGATGTCATAAGAAAAATACAATGGGGAAAAAATTCTCTCAGAACATTCATGTCAGAAGTCTGCATCAGCAGTCATTTATGATTGCCAAAAAAGGGGGCATTCAGGAAAGTCTTAGAGTAAGAAAAATGCTTTATTCAATGTGGGAAACAATCTAATTTAAATCTTGCCAGTTAGGGTATAACTTAGGGATAGTACGATGGTATGAAGCTTTCTGCTTGTTGCTTGGAACAGCTGTCCCTGTGTACTCAAGCTATAGTGATTCTTAGCATCATACTTGTTTCCAGATTGTTGAAAACTATTGAGAAGATAAGACAGAAAACTTGAATTATTCCTCAGACTTGTTTATTAGTTGCAGAAAGACAAAACTCTGAACAGCAATGCAGTATAACAGTTTCACTGTGGACTAAGTAGATCCTCACATTTTCACTGCAGTTGTTCACTAGAAGTATGAGAACTTGATGCAATTGTAATCTTAGACAAATAATTTGCAGTAAACTAAAGAGTCTGTTTTACCGTGGGTGCACTGTAATCTGTCTGTATTTTGAGCATTAATCAGAAGTTCTCTATTAGATACAAAAGCTTTACTACCAGAGGAAAGTGTTTGAACAAATGAACTTGCTGACACCAGAAAGGAATGCTCTTCAAAACACTGGGAACAGCATATAAGGGTAAACATATTAAAAGAAAATAAATGGGCCAGTTGAAATGCCTTTAAATAAATGTGATCCACATCTTGTTATTAATCTCTAAGTCATATGCCAACATCCTCAAGCCCAAAATTAACTTGTTTGCTTAATGAACTCAAGACAGAAACCATACATCATATTATATTGTTTGAGCAGCACAAGTCTTACTGAGACCTCTTTTGTTCTCTATTAAGCTGAAAGAACTGGCATCAGAAAACCAGAGAGAGCTCCAGCATGGGGTAGGTCTCTTGTAGCACATAACTTACTTAAGCTTTGGTGCAGTAAGGATATCCTCTTCCGCCTCAAGCTTCAGGTGATTCTCCTGAATACCATTTTTAATGCCAGCATTAGCACTCGCAAATATCTCTTTGAATGCTGTGATAGTAAGAGTACTAGGTACTCTTAACGTGCATACATTTCTACTTCTGGCCTATTCTTTCATTTATCCATTAGAGGCTGTTCTTCTTCTTGCAGCTCTCCTGAAGAAGAAAATGTTCATAATTGTGTTAATACTGCTTTAAAAATTAAAAGAGGGTTTAAAGGTTGCCTATACTAACTGTTCCACATGCAACAAGCATGTGTCTTATCCAAAAGTTATCAAAAGTAATCTTTGTTCTAACTGCTGGAGAAAAACATTCAAAGCTTACCATGGACTACTTTTTTAAATGCAGAACTGCTTCAAGGGATAGTACCATTTATGAAATCCAGTAGTCTCAGTAAGCCAATTAGTCTACAGATGTGATGAAATTAATCTATAATTTCTCATCTGTAGTAATTAATGCTATATTCAGTAAACACAGACTTACTGTTTTGGGCAGGATAAAAACTACTGACTGCTCAGCACTTGGCTAGTGGACTAAAGGAGCAAGCTCACATATAGCCATCACATAGATCAAGCAGATTTTACTGCTGAGAAGGTCAAGAATGTACATGTACAAGAGCGCTGATCACTTTGTTGTATAAATACATTTGGTTGCAAAAAGCATCATAGGCCATTTTTGAAATTGGGACTGTAGTGCATCATGTAGAAACTACTGTAGGAGATACCATTTTCCCCAAAATCCTTACCCATGTTTTCTTCCAGTTCTGCATCATCTTGTCATGTTCATTGATGGCACTTCTCCAGATATCAAATTCCTTGGTCCATCCATCCTGACCTGCACTGTCTAGGAATTTGTACATGGGATGGTTACAAGACTATGCAGTGATGGAGGAAGTTGGTATCTATTCAGTTGTGGTAACGATAGATTGCGCCAGAAGGAACAAAAGCCACTGTCTTGTCCTTTATTTTGCCCTACCTCTTCTCATGTTACTTGAAAACAGATTCTATTCATGTCTCGTCCCCTCTGCAGCAAACTTTGTAGCCTCCAGAGTAAATAGATTCAGTGCCTTTATCTGTGATTCAAGGTCTAGAAAATGCAACCTACAAGTTAAGAGTTCAACCCCATCTAAGTAGCACAGGAATGCTCCAGTTAAAACATAGCAAGCCTGGGGATAAGAATTATATGATACAGCTATGTCCACTTTGTAATTTCCCCATTTTTTTGGTAATGTTGTGTAGTTATTCTTCATTCCATTGAGAACTTCAGAAGGGCTATTTTACTGCATCTTGGTAAAATTCTAGTTCTAATCCTGTCTGCCAGTTTTCCTTGCAGAGAGTAACACTGTGGCAGCAACACACACAGATACAGTATTTTCTGTTTATCCTTCTGGACACTAACAACTGTGCATGAGGAGTGGCTGAGGGAGCTGGGGTGACTGAGGGGAGACCTTACCGCTCTCTTCAGCTACCTGAAAGGAGGGTGTAGAGAGGTCAGTGTTGGGCTCTGCTCCCAAGTAACAAGGGACAGGACAAGAGGAAATGGCCTCAAGTTGCACCAGGGGAGGTTTAGATTGGATATGAGGAAAAATTTCTTTACTGAAAGGGTGGTCAAAGACTGGAACAGGCTGCCCAGGGAGGTGATGGAGTCACCACCCCTGGAAATGTGCAAGAAGTATGGATGCAGGACATGGTTTAGTGGGCATGGTGGTGTTGGGTTGACAGTTGGACTTGATGATCTTAGAGTTCTCTTCCAACCTTAATGATTTGTGATTCTATATAATGCTTTTAGCACAGAGAAAGCCTCCCTCTATTTTACATTTACAGTAGTTCCATTGAGGTGCTTTGCTTCTGGGACAGACTTCAAAGTAACTGAAGGGATGGCAAGACAACTTGTGTAACTCCTACTGCTTTTCTCTGTCACTGAAGAAAGAAGGGTTGAGCTGTTCTTGACAAATTCATGTTTTATTAACCAGCTAATTAAAAATAATTCACTTTTTCCTTCATGCTGCCAAGAAAATCCATCTCATTGGTCCTGCTCTCTTTTTAAAGACTATTCAGACCTGGATAAGTTCTCAAAAGTTATTTGCAACAGATGCTCAAGTTGCATTGGTCAGTTCCGGGTACCTAAGATCCTGCAGAGCTGCTGAAGTCACCCAACTGCCCAGTTAGCATCCCACTGAAGAGGTAGGAACTGACCTCACCCAACTGCCATTGGTTTACA